AGCCAAAAGACGGCAACCAAAACCGGCGCACGAAAGTGCATGGTTAATGGTTGTTCAAACCGAAAACTGCAAACCTCGGGGGAGACAAGCCAGTTTCATCAGCTAACAGTTCGAGGAGGATCATGTCTGTTTGATTACATTCAGGTCGGGAAGGGGGTGGGCGACACTTCACGAGAGGATGAAACTTATCAATCCAATGATAAACAAGGCAAGAGATGTCGTCAGGGCTGTTGTATGAACACTTATTACTCACTACCCGCAACGGTAAAGGACAGCTAAATCCATACATAATGACCGATTCTCCTGATGATGTCAACGTGACTACTGTTCAAATGCGTTCTCAGGTTAGGACAAGTAAAAAAGTGGAGGACTACCAACTACAATCGCCAGAATAACTCACGAGTAGATCTCTGGTATCACATTTTTTCCTTTGTTGGGCGATTGCAAAGATTGGTCAACAGCCTGCTTCGTTCTACTACTGTCACCGGCCGTGACCATGTCAGAGTTCGGTGGTTTCGTGTGCGCATGGGACTTCAACTCGTTGAATAAATGCATGAGTAGATAACCCAAACCAGGAGAGCGTTGTGCAGTACCACCAGACTCGACTGTGGTAGTGAAAGTATTCTTACTGACGATAAAGCGTGCCTCGTGCGGATTCTCGTTCCCGGACTTTGTGGTTCGATAGGACACGTCTAGATTTACGTCACTGTCAATGAGAGCAATTCCGGTCCAAGTGCTTCCGACGCGTGCTAGTCTGAGGTCTAGTTGGAGGCAAGGGTCGATGAAGAGAGTGAGAAAATGGGCGTGAAATTAAAAAATACGAGCAGGATGGACAGAGAGTGCCGGATAAGGGGAAACCAGTTGACCATTTAGGACCAAATGAACAGAAATCGATTGCATATTGTCCTGTTCTTTATAATCGATAGACACACAATGCACATACATACATTGGCATATATGCATGTATGTCGCGAAAGATAGGTAAGATTAGTCTGCAGCGAAGAGATTCTGACACTCGAATTACGTAACGGACAACTTAGGTTGTCACCTAGTTCAATGACACGCCCAGGCCACAGGAGATTCGC